TCTGTTCTGGATGCTTTAATTTGGATTCCCACACTGAGCTGGGGTTTGGATCTGATGGCCTCTTCCAGTTTTTGATAAACTAGAATTCTATAGTACCCTTGTTTACTCTGGAAGCACTAAGTACTGGTGACCATAATTTGGTCTGCTTATTACTTCTGCCAGTAAGAGCTAATAAACTAAACAAGAATCGAATAGTTAGCATTGCAGCCAAACCAGGAGTCATTTGTGATATTTTGCAAGCCCAGATTCCAAAGTTGCATTTGTTCTTGGTTTACAAAACCAGTCTTCTCTGGGAACAGCAAGCCATAATCCTGGTTTGTATATACACTGAAGGCCTGATTCAGGCTGTATGTACCAGCATATTCAAAATAAAGATTATACAAAATTTTTAAACTCAAATCTACCTTCTCCACAAAGCCCTTTAAATCCTACAGCAACTATATCTAAGAATATGCAACTAAATAATTGCATATTCCTCCCCCTTTATTCCTGCCTCTAATTCCTTCAAATTCCTGTAATATCTTCTATATATTTCTGGACTGTAGTTTTTGGTTCAGAGACTTTCACTATTTTTTTGTGAAGCCTTAGCGGACACCAATTACATAGTGTAAACCAAAAGCAATATATTAGCACTTACATATCTTGGGAACTGTTTGAAGGAATGGAACATATAAAACCGATGGAAATATATTATTCCAGTTGCCAGTGTGTCATAATGTCTGAATCACAGGATAAGAATGCAACAGATTGCTCAGTTTCAACTATAAATACAACTGAATAAAACTGAATAATATATCAAAGAGAACCAGTCTGGTGTAGTGGTTAAGGGACTAGGCTAGAAACTGGAAGACTGTGAGTTCTAGTCCTGCCTTAGGCATGAAGCCAGCTGGGTCATCTTAGACTAGGCACTTTCATCCGTAGGAAGAAGGCAGTGGCAAACCACTTCCATGATCTTGACAAGAAAACCGCAAGGACTAATCCAGGCAGTTACCAAGAGTCAAGACTGACTCAAAGTCATTAAAAAAACCAAACATTTTAATAGTTTCAATATATTTTAGGAAGACATCCAAATAATGTGGTTATGGAATGGTTACAAAATAAGTAAGATTAATGGATAAAGATACTATATTGAAAGAAGATTACAATCCTAGATGTTTGGGAATAGATTCTTGTACTAAGTAATGCCATATAAAATATGACTGCAAGCAGCCTGCATAAATACAGTTCAACAGATTAGTAACATTACTATTCAACTATAAAAACATTACAAACTAACCTAAGTTTAGCATTTAATAAGCTATTCAGAAATGCTGAGGAAATCATGCTGCAACAGATACATAATTTGACTGGTATATGATACTAGGTTAAGCTAGTTGGAGGATTATGGACTGCAAATAATAAGAAATTGTAAATCAACAGATTTTGTTATTGAAAAAACATTTTTACCAACTAAATAACAGGCCAATCAGCAGTTAAAGCTAAGGAAGGAAAAAAAGCATTGAAATAATAGTTTCTTGTTGCTAATTTTTAAATGAAAGTGGAAACACTATTATTTGGGCAGTAAGTAAAAAGAATATTAATTCAAATCTTAATCCCACATACTGCACAATACAGAAACTCAAAAGGATACAATCCCAAACGGGTTCCTACATCAAATATAAATCGGGCACCTTCTCTTCGGTATCTTGCCTCAGTAGCTGGATCAAGTCCTTCTAGCTGTGATGGTGTATGTGCCAAGTCCTTCTTATCCCAATACCAACATGGTTTTGTGTGGTCCAGATTTGCCAAAGCAACAGAGGGGCTAGAATTTTCTTTGTTTTCCTTCATTTATCAACACAGAATAATTCCCGTAGGGTAGGTTTTCAATTTTTTTTCATATGACTTCAGAACCTATAAAAAAAATAAATTTTGATCACTGAGGCTGTGAGGGATTTGCATTCAAAGCCTAACATGTTTTCAGGCATTTATGTACACCATCTTCTAATTCCTAGCACCCAGGAGCTTAGGTACATGAGCTTTTTTTCCATTTCTAATCTTATTTCCTTCATATTTACTCATTTATTATTTAAAGTTTATTGTGTCTTTTCACTGTATTTTAATCTCTCAAGGTAGCTAGCAACAAACAGGGCTACATTTGAAGAGTACCTGGATGCTACAGCTGGTTCAAAATGCGGCCGCATGTACAATTTTGAGTCCCCCAAGAATGGCACATATAACATCTTTACTGCGCGAACTGCATTATCACTTTTAATATCACTCCCCCGCACTTTGGAACATTCTCCCCCCAGAGGTGTGGCAGGCCCCTACCCTCCTGGCTTTCTGGAAAGGATTAAAGACCTGGCTCTGCCAGCTTGCATGGGGTGATAACAATCTTACCCAATCCTGGGGGTGGCTAGCGGTTTGATGACACTCCCTGAGTGACTGCCAATTATTCTTGGATCTATTTACCGTATTTTTCTGACTATAAGATGATACTTTTTTCTAAAAT